TCAATGTGCTTTTTCTGACCATGTGGATCTCATGTTGTTTATCTCATAATAAACTGACTTGTACCGAGCCCCTCTTGATTTGAAACTAGGTAATGGCCGAGTGATCTCTGACCTGGATCATCCCAAAGGAACTCACCCTTAGTCTATACATGCTGTGCATGTAGTGTCTGCCATGCAGGCTACTTGTTTTTGACAATCTTTTTTCTTGAAGATTAACAGGCAACAAGAAAAGTGATGCAAATGATGAAAGCATTGACTCAGTTCTACAATACCATCAGAACTTACAAGAAAATATAGCAGAGGAAATGATAAAAATGGCTCAGCATATAAAACATACATCTGTCATGGCCAGTAACATTATTAAAGAAGATAACAAGGTTACTAGGATGTTTGTCCTTTAATAACAGTAAATAACAAATTATTGGATGAGGTCTTTTCCTGACATCTGAAACAGACTAGGTCGAGTAAATATTATTTGCTGAAGCTGATAATTCTTACTGAGAATTTGAGTATTGCGAATACCGTATTTCTTTGAATAATAGCTGTCCCTGAGTTAATCGCCTCCCTTGAATAATTGCCCCCCTTTGATGGAAATGTTTAAAATAATCGCCTCGCCCACCTCTATAGGTTACCCACTAGGGATAACCATTGTGGAACATGGAGGATGAAGCTAAAGTGGAGTCTGATTCAGCAAAACTGATCACTGATGATTTAAGCTCTGATGCCACAGAAATGGACGGCAAAAATTAATAAATGAACCAAATTTGGAACACTTTAAATGCCAATGTTCTTTTATCTGATGTGATTATTTTTTTATTTAATGGGAAAATAGAACAAATATCTAGTCAGTAATATTTGAAATTGTCACCTCCCTCAAATAATCGCCCCCTTTTGGTGCAAAAAAGAAATAATCGCCCCCAGCTATTATTTGAGGAAATACGGTATCCCAAAAACCAGATCCAATAAGAATTGTTTTATTATACACTGTTGTGAGGAGCGAAGATAGTGTTATGATAAACACATTGTCCTTGAATACAAAGCTTTGTGCACACAATTTCAAGGCTACGTTAATATGATCAGCTATCAAGGTGACCCCTGGCCTACAGTTATAAATTTAATAGAGTAAAAATAGAACCAAAAGAAATCTGTACCTGTTATATTCCCTGCTTACTTGTTTCCTGCAACTTGAAATCTTAGTGACAGCCATGTAAATTTGTATCACTAAGTTTCTTTACTATTGTAGAGATGAATTACCCACATTTTGGTCAAAACCACTGCCAAGAATGCAACAAGTCCACTTTTGGTTGACGTGCATTATTCAAAACAAAGGTTGTTAATGTGGACTCAAGTAAAGGCTTTAAACCGGCTCATATAAAGGATAATGCCTGACCCATAAGGCCTTGTTTAAATAATGACCGAGCGCCCGAGGTCATTATTTTTAACAAGGCCTTGGGCCAAGGGGTATTGTTTAATGTACTTTTCCATTGTTTTAGAACCAGCAAGTCATAATCAGGATCTCTTGTTCCAACTCAGTGACCTGGGCTTTAATTTATTAAAAATAATAACTAATGTTTAAAACAATAGAAAGGTGCATTAACAACAAGGAAGGCATATTTACAAATTGGTCATTTGACGAAGCTCCATGTACAGACAACAGAGTGTGAGATAAACTTTAAAAAACTTACTGTTCAATTTTGTGTTTTGTTTTTTAGACGTTGGAGCAGTCAACAAAGCTTGCAGATTCAAATTTTGAGAAACTAAAACGAGAATCAGAAAGACTTGAGGAATTAACACAGACACCATGTTCCTGGTGGATTTGGATTATGATAATAATTATCATAATCCAAATTATTACAGTCTGTATTGTGTTTATGTGGATGATTATATTTATTAGACTTTTCCCAAAGAAGTGATATAGCAATAACCTTAAAGCAGAACTCTTCAAACAAAAAATGTTCCAAGAACAATTACAAAGATTACAATATTATTTGAAAATAATATGCAATAAAACAACTATAAAGAAGACTGTTTCAGCTTACTGTGTTTAATTTATCAAGAGTTAAAAGTCTTCTGGCCCCAGTTGTTTAAAAGGTGGATAATGTTATTCATTGGATAAATCTTTATCCAGTGGATAATGCAATATTTGTTTCCCTGATACTTATCCGCTTGATAGAGATTTATCTGTTGGATAGCACTTTTGAACATTTGAACCAACAGGGACAGGAAACCACTTAAGTGTCAATGCATTCAGCATGAAAGTACTAATAAAGGTCAATATTTTTATATGTCCTACTGGAGACATGACTGCATTGCCATTTTACGTGGTCATCTGAGCCATACAAAGGTCTAGCCATCTGAAGGGTAAAGGTGGTACCAACAACAATGCTCAGTAATTTTAATACGTGGCTATTAGTCAGGGCACCTGGGAATCAACCCTGTAAACTTCCTGCAATAAAGCATTCTAGCAACTAAGGGTGATTTCCAAACGTCAGTAATGGGTGGCCGAACCATGATCAGACCGGTCAGTTTGAGAATGAAATTGGCTTTTTCAAAGAGTGTTTACTGAAAACTGTCTCTTTAATGCAAACTATTCAGGATAGCCTCACTGATCTGGCTAGTTAGTTTTGATTAAAAGTGAAATTCTCATTATGATAGGAATGGTCTGGCCGTTCGGTTCTGACAAATAGAAAGCACTAAGTTAGTATTAAAACAAAGAAAATTAAAGCTATGGATACATGAGGCTGAGGGAGGGGAAGGCAAAAGAGTAGAGTAAGGAGGGGGGAGGGTAGAAAAGTAAGAGGGTGGAGGGGTGAGGACAGGGTGAGGGAGGGAAGAGAGGGTTGAATAATTGCACAGATTAGCCATACATCCATACTCTTCCAAGTGTATGGCAAATGTCTTGCAAACCCTAAATGGAAAATGACCGCACTGATCTTGAACTAAGAGAGAACTACTTATAAGTTTGAAAGTGACACGTTTTATGTAGGAAAAAAACAAGCTCATTTTTTTCTCAATAAATAGTTGCTATAGTTTCAATATTCACACAGTATATCTCGACTTCTAGAAGGGCAATAATTCTACACATGCTTTCTTTGTAGCGCATATAAGAATGACTGGATAAATTGAGATCGCCCTCTACCATCCAAAAGTTGATGTATAAAAAATCTACTATATTCTTGCTGCCTTCACAGCATTATTCACTCAGGTAAATGTACGTCAATAAATTTTAAAATTTATTTACACTATAGACCTTTACTATGTTATCCACTGAAAGGAGTAAATAAATTACCCAGCTAATTCACTTTACAGTTTCAAATAGAAAATGCCACTTGCAAGTCTCATCTCTTATTTTAATACACGTTCTTATTCACTATGGAACTCAAATGTTAGGGAAAGAATTTACTTGTAAATGACAAAATCACGGCTTTGTGTCAAACAAATATAGATGTCTCCCAAGCAACAACAATTCACAACAAAAATAAACTTTACAGTTCCTTGTTTTCTCCCCTCACATTTCCTTTCATGTCCATGTGTTACACAATCTGAGCATGCACTTGCGTTCTTCACTAGCTCTGTTTTCTCTGGTTGAAGTTGTGTTGTTGTCAGTGAACTGACAACAACAGTTCTATTCAGGACTACGTTCACCCAGACAATCAAACTCTACCTACTTTTGAATATTCAAAGGGTTGCTAAACATTGAATTCCCTTAAGGAAATTTCATCTCTATGTACAGAAATGGAATAAGAAGAAGACCCAGTATATAATAGCATGATTCAAGATAAGCTGTCAAACTGACTTGAAGTTCACCTAAAAAACAAGGGTCTTGCGTGTAAACACAAAGTTAAATCACAGATCCTACAAAAGATTAACTACAATTTCCACTCGGCTTCCAAAGTAAAAAATGCATACGTTGTGGCTTAAAATGAAAAAAACAAGAGAGTCAAAAGAGTATTAAGCTTCAGTCTCAGTTAAAAATGTTGGGGCACTTTGCTGTCTTCTTGCCATCCCAATGTTGGTGTGCAAGATTTGGTGAGTTAACTGTGATGAACAACATTGGGAGGACGAGGAGACGGGCAAAAACTGAAAAAAACAGTCTTGGGTGGAAGTGTCCCAAGTACTTTTCTTGAGACTGTAGTTATAAACTATTTCCCTTATTCATTTAGGCTGATGTTCACACTTTTCAGATAGTTCTTATGCCGACACGAAAAACCACATGTTCACACATAACAGTGATTTCGGCAAACTTGAAAGTGGATCGTCATATATCGGGTAAGTTTCTGGGACAAAACTCAAGAGCACTTGATAAATAGGCTGTTTCCATAATTTCCCTAACAATATTATCCACTGCATTTCTTGTCAATAGGCCACTTCCGAGTTCCAAAAACCCTCACTTTCAAAATGAGGCTAGATGCACAACCTTTTGTGTGAAAATGAGTTTTATTTGCATGAGAATGAAAAATGATTTCCATATCAAAAGCCTGAGCACCTACCCTCATTTTGAAACAGAGGCCCGGAGGAACTTGGAAATGGCCTATTGGGCCTGTGAAGTGGGAGACATTCTGAAAAAAAACTTTCTTGACAATATCTATGAATACAGCACCGAGAGACAAGAATGCAAAACGTTTTGCGATAGAATTCCCTGACTAATTGGGCATTATACTGATGAACAGTTAGGACTGTTGGATATATTCAGCACCAACAACTAGCCGTCTGTCCCTTTGAATCCTTTTCTTTTTAAGCCACACTTTTACTTTGTCCCCGCATGTATTCATTACTCTAATTACGTCTACAAGTCTACTTTTAATGCGACACCCGTCTACAATGTCATGACGCTTTTGAACCTTATTTTACTCTCCATAGAAAGTTACCGAGAGTTCAAATATCGATAATGATCGGTATTTTAACCGAAGTTTGCTTAAGTCATATATACGACTATTGCTTGTAGCACAAAGGTTGTTGACTTGTAATCTCACTGTTCTCAGGGAGGAGCAATTCATCATTAAATAGTCACAAAAAATTGGTAACCAGTCTTCACTTACTTCACTGCGGATGTTGACTGTCAGATTGAGTTCAGTCAATGACGAGTTTTCTGGAAACATTTCCTGTCTCAATAGATGAGACCAATCGCCATGCTTCTCAGCTTCAGTGTAGTCATTTACTGTCAGAATGAGTGTAGTTAATGACTTGTTTTTCGCTAAACCCCTTTTCAGAGAACGAACCCACACTGCAAAGTTCAAGTATTCATAATCAGTGAAGGAGGTTATCGAGGAATCAGTAAAGGTAATGCTGTTAATTGTCATGTTTAGTTCCTTTAATGATGTGGTACCTGCCAGTCCAAACATGAGACTTTCAATATGCGCGAAGGTCAGGGACATTTCTCTTGAATCGCGGTAGGTGTTGCTTGTAAGGCAGAGTTTATTTAGTGAATTGCATTCCTCCAAACATTTTCTCAGAAATTTAACCCAAAAGTCAGTTAACTTACCACTGTTGATTACAACGGAAAGTGTAGACAAGGACCTCACTGGCATCAAATCTTCTTCAAATTTCCTCACCTTGCCAAGATCGTCAATTGAGAGACTAAGTGTAGTTAATGATGCCATTTTAGCCAAGGTGTTGACCAACGTGCATTCCCAGCCTTCTCCCATGTTACTGTAGTTTCTGATTGTAAGACTTAAAACTGTCAATGAAGAACTTCGCAGCAAACTATCCCCGAGGTCTTTCCCTATTCCTGGATTCAGTGTGTAGTTGATCACTGTAAGATCCAGCGTAGTAAGCGATGTGTTTTCTGCCAAAGCATCACCTAGCAGACGTGGCCAGTCACTAATTACTTCATCGTGGTTAATTATTTTAAGATTGATCCTCTCCTTTCTGGTATTCTTAACTTCAGAGAACATTGGTGTCAACGATGCAGGATTGTCAATACAGACATCAAGAGCATTACACGCTTCCTTAGGAACAACAGAGACGCCATGCTCTTTTACTTGAACAGTTACATTTTTATCTGATAGTTCCTGAAGTAGGGTTCTTGTCCCCGGGGCCAACTTTCTCCAAGTATCAATTGTCAGGGAAGATAGTGTATTTTGTTGTCCGATATATCTTTTAATAATATTAGCAACACTATCACTTAATTTTCCATGCACTTTCAGAGCCAGGCTTGTCAGGGGAACATGCACCAAGATCTTACATAAATCTTCTGCTCCACCACACTTCAACTCTCCCCAAAGAACTACAGTAAAGTGTTGTTTTGTTTCTAACCCCCTCTCGACCATAGCAGGACGAAAATGTACCACTTGATTACATGTAACACTGCTGCCCGGGTCTGGATGAAAAGTACAGATAACTGATCCCTTCTTTACCGAACAAAGATTTTCCACAACAGACTGCCAGTTGTCAGGAATCTCCCCACGGAGAGTCAATGCTAAGTCACTTAAAGAACGATTTTCTAGAAGACTGTTTTGAAGAGCATTCACACCAGAGAGACTAAGGTTGCCGTCAATGCTGAAAGCCAATGACTTGAGGGCGGTTTGTTGCGCAATTCCTCTGCTAATAACATCAATTACAAATTCCTGCACATCTCCAGAGATATTAAGGGAAAATGAGGCCAAAGCTTTATTTGATAAAAGCTTTCCTAAACCATGGACCGCAGTATCACTCAATGATTCACGAACCTGGAGGTCCACAGAATTCAAAGGAGTGTCCGCAAACAAAGCTGGTTCAATAGCACTGGCCCAATTCTCATCCCACACTCTGTCAAGTTGAAACGTTACTTTTCTCAAGGATCTGCGTGCAGCCAACAATTCACCGATTAAAACAGCTGCATTGCAAGGGATGCTGTCAGAAATTTGTAGGGTAAACTCTGATAAAGTCGTGTTTCCAAATAGGCCGTCGCGTAGCGCCTTGGCTAGGTCTAATGTAACTACAGGGGTAAAAAGGCTAAGTTTCTGTGTCTTTGGGCAGGATTGTATGTACCCCGCAATACTCTGATATCGCCATATATCTTGCCTTTCAGCACGAACCGTAAGTTTAACTGGCTTTGGTAAATTACGAAAGCTTTTGCATGCCTCTAAAACGTGAAATATATTGCACGTCTCCTCACTGGAGAAGTCAGCTTCAACTTGCTGTGGGAAGGGTACATGGGAACAAAGAGTATCTACCATTTTTTCAGCATATCCACTTTCATTGAAGCTTTCAGTAAGAAAAGTTGCTGTTGCTAAACCAGGGTTTAAAAGTACACCCCGACGAGGAAAAACAGCAATACCAGCAATATCACGCGTGTTCAGGACCCTGCACTCGCTCCAGTTCCATCCTCCCCGGTTCTTCAGCTCTTCACCTATCTGGGCGAATAGAACGCTGGCTTCCATCCCCAGTATACCAGACACAAAAAGAAACACTTGACGATATTTATGCACCAAATCATCAAAGCTTAAACGTTCAAACAAATTCAATTGATTTCTTCGCAATTTGTGCGCAACATATGCCGCAGCCAAGTACTCTTGGAAGGTTTTGTGAAGAAAGTAGTACTCATGTTGAGGTTTTAACCTCTTCAGACTTTCTTCCTTGTAAACTAGGCCTATGTGACGGGATACCAATCCTTTGTATCTTCTTTCAAGCTCTGCTAATTCATTTTCATGGAAACCATGACGATCACTCAGCAGGCACATCCAAGCTAGCTCTCCTAGTGCAAGTATGTCCTTCTCAAAATACCTCTCTAGGTCGTCGTCACCTTCGGGGGCTTGCAGGTTGTGTTTAGCGCAGTATCGTCTTAAAAGGCAAAGGACAATAACTTGATAAAGCCTAGAACGGGATGATGGCAGCTTTCCCTCATAATCCTCATAGATTATACAGAGAAGGAGTAAATTAAGGGGGTTGCTTCGGAGAGCATGCAAAAACTCGTTGTCTTTTATTTCTGTTATGAGTCTCTCTCCCTTTGGTGAATGTCCTCGACCAATATTTGCGAAATGTTTTCTGATATATTCAAAAGCATCGCCTTCTGTGAATCCTTTGATCTCCAAATGAATGTCAAAGACAAATCTCTTTCGTACATCAATACCTCTTTCTTGTCGCGAAGTAGCCAAAACATAACAGAAAGGTAAAATTCTTCGGTGAAGCAGCTCATCCACATGACGCTGGGATTTTTTAGGCAGCTCATCCAAACCATCCAAAATGATTAAAATGTTCTCTTGGTTATGAATGTCCTCCATGAAGTGCAACAATTTCTCCACAGTCTCCTTGTTGATATCTCTGGGCAGAAGTTGTTCCCTTATGGTGTCCATGATATTTCCATCAATGTCACGACATTTGAGGAGCAATACAAATTCAAATTTGGGAAAGGTACACTCCGTTGGGATTTTTCCACGTGCCCAGTCATAAGCAAGTTTGAGGCAAAACGTAGTTTTACCGATTCCTGGACTTCCTTCTACTAGGGTCATAACATCCTCACCTTTTTCAAGGGTCTTGAAGATTTCAAATACGTTGACCTCGTCATGTTCTCTTAGGACGTCTGCGTTTCCCCCTTCTGCTGGCGACACGACATCCTCAATTTTATCGGGAACAGTGAAGCTGCCGAACACATTTGCTCTATTTTCGTCCAAGACGTCAGTTAGCGTCATGACATCCTTACCTTTAAAGGGAGCTTTGAAGATGTTGAAAGCATTCACCTTATCGTCTTTGACCTGGATGGCCAATTTTCGTCGTGAAACGATTTTGAGTCTCGTGTAGACATTCTCTAGGGGTAACTCGATGGTGTTGTCCCAAAGAAGGGGTCTTAACAGAGAGCGCCTTTTGTATTCAGCTTTCAGTAATTTCACAACTGAGTTGTCCCATACTGCTGGAAACAAAAAGATCAGGAATTTTATGTCCAAAAAACAAACCTACATAAAGGTTTCATACTACAAACGGATTAAGCTTTTCATGTTCGTCTCCCCTCAGTCAGAAGGAAGTCCATTTTAAATTCTCCTATTAAATTATAATATTTGCATGAAGCAACATACAGTTGTAAGCAAGGATAGCTCTTTCCACAAGTTACCTCATTTTGGAAATTCTGACCAATCCTGACAAAAATATTATACACAAAGAACCAAGTAACATTTTTTGGGAGAAATCCATCTACTCTTTTCAGATTAAATTTGTCTCTTTTCTGGAAAGTTAGCCAGCCACAATTCCATGCGAAAAAAAAGACGATATGGTGGGCAAGAAAGCTGGCTATAAAAATGAAAGACAAAGGGAAAATAAAAAAGAGAAGGATCGAAATAGATCTGCAACTACTTGCAGGCGGACGCCTAATGGTTAAGACCCTGTGTAGTTTGCGAGAACTTAATTTAGCTTAGGTGATCTAAAACACCACCACTGTATTTCGTCAGGTATGCAGGTGATGAAGCCGCGCTCAGGGAACACAAGACCGACGACGCAAGGCCCTAATATACTGTATCGAGAAAGTTTATTATACTCTCTCATGTGCATGCAATAAAATACTAACCCTTACTCTAAATAATGAAAAGAAAAACTTTACCTTTATCTCTCACTAGTCTCAGATGTTTTGGAGCTGGAGTATTACTTGAAGATAACGGCCTTTTGGCTTTTTTTGAAGACTTGGATCTCTTTGCTGCGTCTGAAACTAAATCCAGCAAATACCAACATAATTAGGCTTTTGTCTAAATAACTGTCCCGAAGATAATTTACCAATTAATCAATCTTTAAATTATTTTTTTAACCAGTCGGTAACGCCATGATTAAAGAAGTTTATACACAAATGTAAATGGAAGAGTAAATTCATACAACTGTTTCTGCCATGTTCATCTGCACACAAACACACACAAAACACACTTACAGAGTCCTTACACTCTTGGCGCGCAATGCCGCTGAGCATACACACCACAGTCCTACCAACACATTCTTAACGCTACATACCAGAAGAAACGAAGCGATCTGCCATTTTTGAGCCTGAGCGATCACAAGAAAGGAGAAAAGCGTGGTTCCATTTACGCACGCGCAGAATATAATTTGTACCTAAACACTTAAACCCAAACACAGTTGGACGACAGTGCGCTCGAGCAAACCATTATTTGTTGGCAGTTATTTGCAGGTGACGTTGTGAGCGCACGGCCAATGAAAAGGTAGAAAAATGTTAACCGAGTGATAATACGTCTTAATGTAACAACAGAACGGTGTTACTACAATTGTAATTCGGTTTTAATAATTCGTCTGACTTTATCCGTATGTTTATCAGTCAATACAGACGGATTTTGAAGACAGATTGTGGTTCCAGAAAATATCCATACCCTTCCCCAAGGAGGGCATTTTTGCTTTAGATCCTCCCAGCCCCCCTGGAATTTCCATTCCAGGGGGTGCTTGAAATACCCCCCACACCCCTGGAATTTCCGTAATTTTTCAACTTGATTGGGTACCCGGGACGGCGCTGACCTGGACACTACTTTTGCCAGTTTGAAAAGTGTTTACCTCAACCCGAAATCAAATGTACGTGTAGGATACATCTAGAATCCGCTTCAATCTTGCCTAGTGTTCTATTCGATCCTCGATCTTTTACAGAAAACCTCTTTTTGAGCAAACTTTTACTTATCCTATGCAGGAGATTGGCTCCTGTCCTATGACATTATTTTATTGTCCCCGCAGGGATTTCGCCCAGAAGGAGAAATCCAGAGGAGGCACTCTAGTAACTCGTGCGTATATTAAGGAAAGTACTTACAGTTGAAATATACAGTCATACAGTCAATATAGAAAAAATCTCGATTTGCTTGAACAGGGGCCGCGAGGAATCGAACCTTGCCAGACACACTTTCTCTCTCTTTCACCGGAATAAGACTCGGCCCAAAACAAGCAAGATGATTGAATGATTCAGCGGCTAGCTTATCACTAGCAGAACGATGGACAATTACAGAAATTCGCCGACCATCAAATTCTGTGCTGACTTAGTCCCTGCTCACAGATATCCTTCCGGTATAGATTTTATAATAAGACTAGAATGCGCGAGCGTGAATTGATCAAACATCCTTTTTATTTCTAAGGCTTACTTTCTGCCAAATGAAATGAACTAAATGTAAAAAGTGAAATAGAAATAGCGAAAAATTCAACTTCTATTTAAATCTTTTCTTATGGTTTTGAATAAACTATTCTCGAAACTGAGAATGTTTTGATCAAAGCTGCGTAAATTACGTTAAATTGAACCGAAACTGTGCATGGAACCTTGCGTTTATTTCCTGTATTTATCTCACCTATTGTTTGGAATATGTGTGAACATCTTCATTATGAATCGGTATATTTCAAAGAGCAACACAACGAGCAAGAATACTATATACAGAGCGGGGGCAGCTGTAGTATCAACTATTACTAGTCATATTTGGTTAAAACAATATCCAAAGGAACATGAACAGAAGAGGTGAGAAAAGGTAGGTGCCGGGCAGGAGAAATCACCTTCGTTTACCAAAATAACAAAAGAAATGAAACAATAACATTGGCGAGGAAATAATCGTTACATATATTTGGAAAATCGATGGAAAAGGTTACATATGTTTGGAAAATCAAGCTTTCTCGACCTTGAACCTTCGAGAATGATTCATGTAGACTCCGTGTCATTGCTCACCTCTACTGATGATCAAACTTTGGCTTTCCCTGGACAAATTCATCGTTGAATTCGCAATAATATATATATATAAAATAGTGCTCTGATATGGCATAGGATCTATAATCACGATCGCGGCTTGTAACTAGTTCAACTCTACAAGTTTTGTTTAGAGTATTCCGGACGCGCTTCACACTTTGTTTCACGCGCGTGTCTTGTAATACGCAAATCAGCTAAGAAATGGTATGAAATGCGCATGTGCACCAGCTGACCGTGTCAAATAATCTCAGGGATGTTAAGTTAATAATTAACCGTAGAGGCGATACCTTACACTACTGACTACACGAATAATATCATCTGCAAAAGAACCAATTACATTAAAACTAAACAGCACGTGAACTTTCATTACTTCATTTCAGTTAGAACATGTTACAAGAAGGCTTTGAACACGACCAAATTACGATGAATCACTGCGTAATAAAGCAACAGTTAGATAACCGGAAGTTTATTCATGAGCCGATGACAATTGTATTAAATAAAACTATCGCGTAAGCCGTGAAAGAATACATTTAGCCGACCGTACATAAAAGATGATCAATGCAAACAATAATACTTGCTGTGAAAAGTTTGAACGCAGGAGTCATTTCAAAAGTAGGTTGAGTTTGATCGCCCGGGTGAAAGTAGTCCTGAATAGGACTGTTGTTGCTGACACTGACCGACGTTTCGACAACCTGTGCGGTAGTCATCTTCAGAGTCAAAGTGAGTTGTATCACGTCAGTTGATGGTATTATACTCTGGTTTAATTGATCTGATTGGTCAATTACGTCGCGATGTTATTGGTCGTCTGTTAGTTTAAGCCGTCATGTTCTTGGCTATGAAGACTCGTAATCTAAAGTTAAACAGTCGTCTATTGATGGTCAAATTGTCAGTTCTCAAGTCGTTCTCATGTAGTTAGTTTTGCTTGATCTCGTCAATAAGTCGTTTGTACGGTGCTGGTAACTGTTGGCTACGATTCAGTGGCGTTTGTTCTAAGTTGGTAAACCAAATTTCTAAAGTAAGTCGTTGATAGTAATCTGTAGAATACGTAATACATGTCGCAGAGTCCCTGTCGATTTGATGTTTCGTCTGTAAATGGTGTTCAGCTATGTCATTGTCGACGTCACCATTCCTCGTCGCTCGTTTGTGTTCGGTCAGTCGCGTACTAAGGTTTCTGCCGGTTTCACCAATGTAAGTAGCCTGGAAGTCGCAGCATTTGATCTTGTATGCTGCTCCCTGTCTGTCCTCCGGTTTGTCTTTGTCCTTGACATTAGTCATAATACTTGCATTGAAACACCGGAAATAGTAAAATAACTGCTAGTCTGCTAAACAGAGAAGCTGTTATTTATCAGTAACTCACCGACCTTACTCAGAACCTCTGGAAAAGAACCTATGTAAGCAAACCCCCACCCCCTCAGAAATTACCTCCTTTTGGACCCCCTCCCCTCGGAATTTCCATTGCCCTCCGTGGGGGGGATGGATATTTTTTGGAACTACACATTATACGTACGCCTCAGATAGATAATCTGTCTCTAGTGTGAAAACAGCCATTTTGGTATGAATAAAATATTCGAACTCCAGCATACAAAACCAAACTTAACAATGGCTACTATTACACAACGCAACCCTAAATTGTTCACACAAAAAAACCTAACGAGATCTTACTGTGTAAGAACGCGGCGTTGCTAAAACGAGGGTAAGGGTAACACCAAGGGTAAGGGTAAGGGTAAGGGTAAGGGGGAGGGTAAGGGTAAGGGTAAGGGTGGGGGTGAGGGTGGGGGTGAGGATAGGGTGAAAGCGTTAAATTAAACGTTAAACGTTGTTTCGTCTGTACACCTATAGATCAAATGTAGGTCGGCGTAATATTTAAGTTAACACTGATTGGTAAGATTACGGATCAAGGATATAAGTGAACACTTTAGTGATTATTGTAAGTCGTGATTATCATATTGGAGCATAGCCGGTTGAAACTGGTTTGCCCCAAGTGAAAAAATGGAAAACACCCTTTCTAACTTGAAAAAGGCTCGTTATAGTTCGCATTAACTGTTTTGTTTTCTTATTAGACTGTTAAGAAGGCACCTTGTCATTAATTCCCTGTCATTAAGCATCATCTGGCATATTATTGGAAAACGGTGCTCTTTAAAATGAAAGGCTGGTCCAGGGCTGTTCTAATTTCAAGGTTTGGCTAGCTTTCGCGTTTCTGTTGCAGTTAAGTATTTCCAACAACGT